CACCAGGCCAACCCATCCTCCCACCCCCCTCCCCTCTAGAACCCTCAGTTTGTTTTTCAGAGTCCATAATACATATGAGATTTTTAAAATGAAAATGGTTCATTGATTTATTACAGAATTTGAATGAAATCTTATAAACAATAATTAAGTGCTTATTTAGACCAAGGATTTTACTTATGTGATTTTATTTAATCTTGAAACATCTATGTGAGAAAGGAATTGTCATCTCATTCTGCAGATAGGAAAACTGAGGTTCAAGTGAGGTTCAGTTCACAAAACTAGTAGGAAGTAGAACTGGAATCTGCATCCAAGTTTGTGAATTGCAAAAGCCATGCCCAATCCAGGATACCACTAACTTATATATTAAGTGAATAAATGTCAGACAATGAAATCAAATTCAGAAAAAGTAGAGAACAGTGAACATTACCTAGAATTTTACTTCAGTTTGAATTGCTGGAGTTACTGCTATTCTTTTGGAAGATATACCTGCTTTTAATGTGTGAATCCATGGGAGAACCAATCTGATTCATAGGATTTCAATATGGAATTCATTCTGATACCCATCCCAGGACTCTAAATAAAGGATTCTAGAGATGCATGTACAGGGATCCTAAGATATGTATGTAAATGCAGCACCGGACCCTAATCAATGCATTTGATATATTTATATTAACCTAAGATCCAGTATGGATTTGGAAAATGTTCAAGGAGAAGAATCAAGTGGGTGAGAATGACCCAGAGAAATTTTCCAATTAAAAATAGATAAAATTAGGGGCACCTGGATGGCTCAGTCGGTAAGCATCTGCCTCCACCTCAGGTCATGATCTCAGGGTCTTGAGATCGCGGCGGGCTCCCTGCTCATCAGGGAGTCTGCTGCTCCCTCTACCTCTGCCCCTTCTCCCTCCTTGCCTCTCCTCCCCACTCCACCCCTGCTAGTGCTCTCTCTCTTTCAAATAAATAAATAAAATAAAATAAATAAAAATAGATAAAATTAGGGGCACCTGGATGGCTCAGTCGGTAAGCATCTGCCTCCACCTCAGGTCATGATCTCAGGGTCTTGAGATCGCGGCGGGCTCCCTGCTCATCAGGGAGTCTGCTGCTCCCTCTACCTCTGCCCCTTCTCCCTCCTTGCCTCTCCTCCCCACTCCACCCCTGCTAGTGCTCTCTCTCTTTCAAATAAATAAATAAAATAAAATAAATAAAAATAGATAAAATTAGGGGCACCTGGATGGCTCAGTCGGTAAGCATCTGCCTCCACCTCAGGTCATGATCTCAGGGTCTTGAGATCGCGGCGGGCTCCCTGCTCATCAGGGAGTCTGCTGCTCCCTCTACCTCTGCCCCTTCTCCCTCCTTGCCTCTCCTCCCCACTCCACCCCTGCTAGTGCTCTCTCTCTTTCAAATAAATAAATAAAATAAAATAAATAAAAATAGATAAAATTAGGGGCACCTGGATGGCTCAGTCGGTAAGCATCTGCCTCCACCTCAGGTCATGATCTCAGGGTCTTGAGATCGCGGCGGGCTCCCTGCTCATCAGGGAGTCTGCTGCTCCCTCTACCTCTGCCCCTTCTCCCTCCTTGCCTCTCCTCCCCACTCCACCCCTGCTAGTGCTCTCTCTCTTTCAAATAAATAAATAAAATAAAATAAATAAAAATAGATAAAATTAGGGGCACCTGGATGGCTCAGTCGGTAAGCATCTGCCTCCACCTCAGGTCATGATCTCAGGGTCTTGAGATCGCGGCGGGCTCCCTGCTCATCAGGGAGTCTGCTGCTCCCTCTACCTCTGCCCCTTCTCCCTCCTTGCCTCTCCTCCCCACTCCACCCCTGCTAGTGCTCTCTCTCTTTCAAATAAATAAATAAAATAAAATAAATAAAAATAGATAAAATTAGGGGCACCTGGATGGCTCAGTCGGTAAGCATCTGCCTCCACCTCAGGTCATGATCTCAGGGTCTTGAGATCGCGGCGGGCTCCCTGCTCATCAGGGAGTCTGCTGCTCCCTCTACCTCTGCCCCTTCTCCCTCCTTGCCTCTCCTCCCCACTCCACCCCTGCTAGTGCTCTCTCTCTTTCAAATAAATAAATAAAATAAAATAAATAAAAATAGATAAAATTAGGGGCACCTGGATGGCTCAGTCGGTAAGCATCTGCCTCCACCTCAGGTCATGATCTCAGGGTCTTGAGATCGCGGCGGGCTCCCTGCTCATCAGGGAGTCTGCTGCTCCCTCTACCTCTGCCCCTTCTCCCTCCTTGCCTCTCCTCCCCACTCCACCCCTGCTAGTGCTCTCTCTCTTTCAAATAAATAAATAAAATAAAATAAATAAAAATAGATAAAATTAGGGGCACCTGGATGGCTCAGTCGGTAAGCATCTGCCTCCACCTCAGGTCATGATCTCAGGGTCTTGAGATCGCGGCGGGCTCCCTGCTCATCAGGGAGTCTGCTGCTCCCTCTACCTCTGCCCCTTCTCCCTCCTTGCCTCTCCTCCCCACTCCACCCCTGCTAGTGCTCTCTCTCTTTCAAATAAATAAATAAAATAAAATAAATAAAAATAGATAAAATTAGGGGCACCTGGATGGCTCAGTCGGTAAGCATCTGCCTCCACCTCAGGTCATGATCTCAGGGTCTTGAGATCGCGGCGGGCTCCCTGCTCATCAGGGAGTCTGCTGCTCCCTCTACCTCTGCCCCTTCTCCCTCCTTGCCTCTCCTCCCCACTCCACCCCTGCTAGTGCTCTCTCTCTTTCAAATAAATAAATAAAATAAAATAAATAAAAATAGATAAAATTAGGGGCACCTGGATGGCTCAGTCGGTAAGCATCTGCCTCCACCTCAGGTCATGATCTCAGGGTCTTGAGATCGCGGCGGGCTCCCTGCTCATCAGGGAGTCTGCTGCTCCCTCTACCTCTGCCCCTTCTCCCTCCTTGCCTCTCCTCCCCACTCCACCCCTGCTAGTGCTCTCTCTCTTTCAAATAAATAAATAAAATAAAATAAATAAAAATAGATAAAATTAGGGGCACCTGGATGGCTCAGTCGGTAAGCATCTGCCTCCACCTCAGGTCATGATCTCAGGGTCTTGAGATCGCGGCGGGCTCCCTGCTCATCAGGGAGTCTGCTGCTCCCTCTACCTCTGCCCCTTCTCCCTCCTTGCCTCTCCTCCCCACTCCACCCCTGCTAGTGCTCTCTCTCTTTCAAATAAATAAATAAAATAAAATAAATAAAAATAGATAAAATTAGGGGCACCTGGATGGCTCAGTCGGTAAGCATCTGCCTCCACCTCAGGTCATGATCTCAGGGTCTTGAGATCGCGGCGGGCTCCCTGCTCATCAGGGAGTCTGCTGCTCCCTCTACCTCTGCCCCTTCTCCCTCCTTGCCTCTCCTCCCCACTCCACCCCTGCTAGTGCTCTCTCTCTTTCAAATAAATAAATAAAATAAAATAAATAAAAATAGATAAAATTAGGGGCACCTGGATGGCTCAGTCGGTAAGCATCTGCCTCCACCTCAGGTCATGATCTCAGGGTCTTGAGATCGCGGCGGGCTCCCTGCTCATCAGGGAGTCTGCTGCTCCCTCTACCTCTGCCCCTTCTCCCTCCTTGCCTCTCCTCCCCACTCCACCCCTGCTAGTGCTCTCTCTCTTTCAAATAAATAAATAAAATAAAATAAATAAAAATAGATAAAATTAGGGGCACCTGGATGGCTCAGTCGGTAAGCATCTGCCTCCACCTCAGGTCATGATCTCAGGGTCTTGAGATCGCGGCGGGCTCCCTGCTCATCAGGGAGTCTGCTGCTCCCTCTACCTCTGCCCCTTCTCCCTCCTTGCCTCTCCTCCCCACTCCACCCCTGCTAGTGCTCTCTCTCTTTCAAATAAATAAATAAAATAAAATAAATAAAAATAGATAAAATTAGGGGCACCTGGATGGCTCAGTCGGTAAGCATCTGCCTCCACCTCAGGTCATGATCTCAGGGTCTTGAGATCGCGGCGGGCTCCCTGCTCATCAGGGAGTCTGCTGCTCCCTCTACCTCTGCCCCTTCTCCCTCCTTGCCTCTCCTCCCCACTCCACCCCTGCTAGTGCTCTCTCTCTTTCAAATAAATAAATAAAATAAAATAAATAAAAATAGATAAAATTAGGGGCACCTGGATGGCTCAGTCGGTAAGCATCTGCCTCCACCTCAGGTCATGATCTCAGGGTCTTGAGATCGCGGCGGGCTCCCTGCTCATCAGGGAGTCTGCTGCTCCCTCTACCTCTGCCCCTTCTCCCTCCTTGCCTCTCCTCCCCACTCCACCCCTGCTAGTGCTCTCTCTCTTTCAAATAAATAAATAAAATAAAATAAATAAAAATAGATAAAATTAGGTGATAAATTTAAGTGTACACACCACACACATAAACACACAATCTTGAAAATCCTGGGCTAGACATTATGATGGTTTGTGATTTAAAAATATAATATTTAAAATGGACAAAGAGCAATACTAAGATGTGTGATTGTTTATGGACTTTTAAGACCTGCTGGCTAAATATGAATTTCTATTTATGGATCACATTCAGCATATATTGGTTTTTAATGATAACATCAAAATTGTTACTTCAAAATTTCTAATCATTTCCAATGTAAAATGTGCATAAAATATCTTAAGTATATATTAATAGAATTCATTTCAGCCTGTCTACAAAAGTGGTATACACAGCAGTCCTGTTCTTCTAATTTCTTTCCTGTTCATATTTAGTTATAATTATCACATTGATGAGCGACTTCAGCCTGCTGAGTTGAATAGACTGAATTTTCAGGTATAATTTAGCATTACATAGCCCAAGGGTATTTCAGGAATCCAGCTCCAGTCCTCATTTTGTGTGTATTTGTGTCTGCTAAGGGGCTGAGAACCACCTGGACAGTCTTTGACCTCACATATGTGTTCAAAGACAACTATTTGAATAAACTCTGCATTTGCCATTACCAGCACAGCAATATGTGAACAGTAAATATGTAAATGAAATTCATGATTTTCTTACTGTTATAAAAACCGTTTTTAGATGTTTACTTAAACGGCCTTAGATACAGAAACAGGACTGTAAGTGGAAAAAAGAGTCCCAAATTTTATTTTCCAAACTGTCTCCTTTAGTTTGATGAACACTAAATCTCAAGCTATCTTTAAATCATGTCTCGGAACGCTTTAGAAAACCCACCTGGACTGTGCAGTAAATACAAAAATGCATCATTAGGGGGCTCACAAAATAGGAATACAAATACAGCATGTGAAAAGGTGATTATTCAATTTCAAAAACCTTTGGTTCCCAACTTCTAAGCCTACTTAAAGAAATCTTTGTAAGAAAGTAGCATAGCAGAGAAGGAACTGGCCTTGTGACCACCTGATCTTGATTCAGTGAG